TGCAACTGGTAGCAACATGATAGGTAATTGGGATCAATTTTTGGTTTTAACATGATCAAATTGTTGTAAAGAGAAAGCTAAATTAAGTGTGATCCTGTGATTCCTAACAATGATACTAAAATAAAGAAAAAAAGAGGAAAGGGATATAGATTAATCTTTTTGGACGTGGGGCATGGATAAATATTAAAGTACAGACATAACAATGAGAGTCCAATTTAGGTTGTTGTGACCAGTTGCTAAAGTACCGAGGTTAGAGGTGTTTCGATGTGTGGTTTAGTTTAGATTTTGATATTTTTTTAAATCAATAAAATTTTGAAACCAATCCAATTTAAATAAACCCCCTATGCAATGCCTAATTAATGCTGTTCGATGTTTAGAGAGTGAAGTAAAAACAATGTCGGCAGACCAGCTTTATTTTGTTTGATTTTGAAGATAGCGTAGAAGGAACAAAAGTTTTGTTCAAAAAGAATTAAAAGATGTACAAAAAGAGAAAACCAACCTCGGTTTTATTTTTATTTTTATTTTTAGAGTTGTTTTAACTTGCGTCATTATAACACATATTAAGAATATATTTTAGTATTAACTATTATTAAAAAATAAAATTTAATATTTATTTAATCAATTGAACTATTAAAATAATACATATAGCATTAATAATGAAATTAATGTCAACTTTTATTATTTTTTATATTAATTAATACTTTTCTTAAATTAATTTTTACTTTTACTTCATTTTAAAACATTAATTCAACTTTTTCAACAAATGTCTCTCTAATAACTATTCCTTGAATTTTCTTCATCTTCAAGGGAACAGATCAACCTCTTCAAGGAAAAACTTTGAGTTTTCTTTATCTTCTTCCTTGAATTTTTGCACTTTGTTCTTAAAACTTCAGTATACTGATTGTGTGATTAAAGTTCATTTTAGTGGGTATTGTATTCTGGGAATAACATTTCCTATAGAGAAATGAAAACTATTATCCTTGAGAAAGGTTCTAGGAATTGTCTTATCCACAACAATTGCATCTACAACTTTCTGTGTACAACACCATGGCTCTGTATCTAAAAATTTTTAAATAAAGTAATAAATATAGATTATATTTGATCTTCTTGCCTTGGTCTAGTGGTCAGCTTGATTAAGTGAGAATCATCTCTTGTTAGTTGCGTTTTTAAACTTCACTAATCCCATTCCCCCTTCTTCCGATTTGCCCTGTTGACAAATATAGATTATATTTGATCTATATCGAAAAATATTCACAGTCAATAGAAATAAGTAGTATTAATTTACCACTACTCATCATTTCTTTTTATTTTAATTGGAATTTTTATAATTCAACTAACATAAATGCCCAGGAAAAAAATAAAAAAACAATAGTTATACTTAAGTTCTAAGGGTGTGTTTAGTATATAGAAGTTTGTGGTTAGTAGTTTGTAGTTTGAAATTTAAACTAATAAAAAGAATATATATATTTACATTATAAAAAATAAGAAATTATAGAAAATTAAGATATTTTAACAATTTAAGTATTAGAAATGATAATTAAAAGATTTAAATACTTTAAAGAAATTAATATAATAAAAAATTAATAAAAATAT